CAAAAAAATCCCCTTCCCCCCCCCCCTCCCTCCCTCCCACCCTCCCTCCTTCCCTCCTTCCTTTCCTCCCTCCCTCCTTTCCTCCCTCCCTTCCTTTCCCTTTTCCTTTTCCTTTTCCTTTTGTTCAATACAGGGTTTCTCTGTGTAGCTTTGGAGCCTGTCCTGGCACTCACTCTGGAGACCAGGCTGGTCTTGAACTCACAGAGATCCGCCTGCCTCTGCCTCCCAAATGCTGGGATTAAAGGCGTGCGCCACCATGTTGGACCTACAATTTATTTCTTGTGGGGGATGTACATGTCCCATGGCATACTGAAGCCCAGGAACAATAAGTGGGGGGGGGGGTCCTTCTACTGTGTGGGTCCTGGGGACTGAACTCAGGACACCAGGCTTGAAGCATCTTTACCCACTGAGCCATCTTGCCAGCCCTGGAATTTGTCTAAATTTTGGAGTCTAGTACAAACAAATTGCATCCTCCCTTCCCAGCTAGGTGGATTTAGTGATAGCCTGTCCAAGGGTTGATCTATTCTCCACTCCGCAAGGCTTGTCCTGTTCTACACAGTAAGACCCTGTCTTAAAATTTCTTAAATTCATTTTGAAAAAGAGACTTATTCATTTTATATTTCACTGTGTGAGTGTTTGCCTACATGGATGTAAATGTACATGCCTGGTGCCTGTGGGGGTTCAACAAGGGTGTCAAATTCCCTGGAACTAGAGTAATGGATGGTTGTGGGCCATGACGTGTGTTCTGGGAACCAAATATGATCCCTGTAGGAGCAACATCTCTCCAGACCCTCTCCCCAAGTTAACAAATAACTAGGGCATCAAGGGTATACCTAAGGCACAGAAAGAAACGAGTCTGAAGCCAGGAAGAGTGCGCACTTCCTGTCCCCTAGTTCCTGCCCTTCCAAGTAACACCAGAGACCCATGCCTGGACTCCTGCCACAGAAACTATGGCCTTGCTTGCCTGAGGGTCCTACCAGGTAGAAGGATGATAGAGAGCACAGGGCACAGAAATTGGGTTCATCTTGGTCATTCTTACCTTTTCTTCAGGGTTTATATGACTTAGGGAGGCCTCGAAGTTGCTGTACATGGAGCCCAAGTGGACATAGTTTTCTCCTTCTAAGGGAGGAAGCCCAAAGAGACAGGTGGTTAGAAAGTGTTCATCAGTCCCCTGAGCCCCACTGATGGGGAGGGTGTTCATCCCTCGTCCACGAAAGGAAAACCAATGGGAGTGTGGTAGACTGCTTGAATCAGTTGCTCCATAATAGCTCCCTAGTGTGAGCTACAATCGGGGGTGTGTGAGCGGGGGCAGAGGCAGAGGCAGAGGCAGAGGGAGGATGGCAAGTTTGAGGTCAGTTTGGGCTACACAGAGAGACTGTGTCCCAAAAATTCTATAGACAAGACTGGGTTTGAGCTTCACAGATCCACTTCCTTCGGCCTCCTGAGTGCTAGAATTAAAGGTAGCCACTTCCACTCAGCCATTGTTTGCATTTTGAGACAGGGTCTGATGTGTCTCAGATGTCCTCAAATTCACTACATAGACAAAGATGACCCTCCTGTCTGCTGGAATTACACAGGTGGACCCCACATCTGGTTAATATGGCACTGGAGACCAAACCCAGGACTCCATTCATGCTAAGCAAGCCCTCCACCCACTGCCTTGCATCCCCAGCCCATTCCTAGAAATTATAATGTTTGCATCTAACAAACCACAATGCTAACCTCTATCCTGAGATGTAAGTCACTTGTTGGTGAGCATACTCACCCCTGGACCCCCATCTATGTCCCTATAGACATAGTTTTATGTTCCAGAGGAATGCACACCATCACTTGGCGGGCCTCCCTTAGGGTGTTGCCATACAATACCCGTGTTATATCTCACTCAGGTTCTAGGCCAGCTTTTGAAATGGAGTGTTCCCGAGTCTCCTGTGTCCCCCACCCTATGCGTCATTCCGAGTTTGAGCTCCACAGAGATTGCCGATACCTTCATTGTGGTCAAAACCGACGTTGTGGAAGGCTCCAGGGTTTCGGCCTTCCTCTTCATTCCACTTCTGCATCTGAGACACTTTGAACTTTTGCCTGTTGGTAGAAGACACCATGGGACCCAGTTATGATCATGGGTAAAGACAAAGACCCAGGATGAGCTACATCTCTGCTTCTGGCAACTCTCTGTCCACCTTGAGAATGGAGACAGAAGGTAGAGCGGGGGTGCCAGCCGCTTACCTGTTTGCCTCTCTCCTGAAACGTGTGGACAACACACCCAGGATGACAAGGATCACCAACAGCACTGCCTCCTTGGCTCCCACGAGCCCATACACCAGGCTTTTCTGGATACCCCAGTCGCAGGTTTCCCCGCTGTACCAGTGAGTGTCTGTGGTCAGGCAGCTGACACGGGAGAAGGGCAGAGAGGAGAGAGAAGAGACAGTCATGCTCTGGCCGTCAGTAGAGCTCTGAGGAGCCCAGGTGGTCTAAGCTGGTCCTAGCGGGAACCCAGTTCCAGGCCTTTGCCCCCAGCCGCACACCAGGGCCCGAGTTTCCTTGGTCTGCACTCCACGCTGGGCCGTCTACCTGCCTGCCCGGTGTTTCCATTTTCAGCCCTATTTGCAAACACCCTCGCCCCCATTTCTGACCCAGAGCCTGTGCTCCCCGCCCTGAGCGTTCCTCGACCAAACTGCCCTCTCTATATGCACCCCTTCCCCAAATCCACCTCGAATCAGCTTGAGAGCCTCTTTTCAAAGAAGCTACCCCAGATA